CCACCGATGATTTTCAATGAAATGCATTTTACTCGATTTTACAACGCATTTCTTGAAATGCCTGTAAGCGGTGAAAATTCGACATTTGACCTGACCTATGACGTCATCGCTTTGACCTAGGTCAATGAAATTGGGTCACACGGTAGTTCCCTGGTAGGGCTATCCAACACCGTTTGCCGCTTGTCGCTATCTTGCATGGTTCTCGAGATCTTAGGGGGGGGGGGGCAAAGTGCCCCCCCCCCCCAGCAGGGCGCGTTGCTCGGCAGACCCCAGCGGGGCGCGGGTTAAAAACCGGTAGGGGAAGACGGGGGAACGCCGCCCATCGGGTAATACCGCCGATCCTATTATTTCGTAAACCAAACATCCTTGATCATTAGATTACTGTGTCATTAATTGGTGACATGACGGCAATCGGCTGCGCAAGATGATTTTGGCAATTTTGCGTGTCATTTCCGTGATTTTGCACAATTCTACTGGCAAATGACTTCCCTGTCACCTTCTTTATTTACATACTATATTTAGTTTTATTGTCATTAAAGAGGTCCAAATATAAAATCATGCTTACATACTCACAGCCATTTATCCAGACAAGCGAGGCTTCTAACGCGGCGTTTCCATTATAGTGCTTACACCTGCATAGTGACGCTCGATGTTGGCAGGGTATCGCGTGGGGTAAGGCCGCCCGGTGGGGCGGTATTGCCCCTATATGTATTATCATATATACCTATAGCCCTGTATGCAAAGGTCTTTTTACCAAAGTGCATACAAACATCAAACTTGACCGGGGCATGAACGGAAGAGCAGGAGCCATCTTACACATGGGATCCAGCCCGTTTGATGAAAGATGAATAACAAACTAGCCTTTTATGCAATTTAGACGATTTTCTGCACGTAATCCACTTCCGGCTATACACCAGATGGCCCAAGACTCAAGAGGGTCATCTGATCGCGGTAGCTGCAGTTTAGCTTGGATCCAATGTATTTCATTTGTAACTTGTAAGCCTGATTGAAGGACTCTCGTGTGAACCAAAACAGTTGATACCACTTTGTTTTGCACAAAATAGAACCGCTAAAATGGTCATACATTAACCCTATAATGATGTGATATCGGGGTGAGCGCCATTACCCCGTGGGCGGTGTTGTTACCCCTAAAAATGCTAACTTTTTTTAATTGTCCCCCTAATTAAAACGATTAATTTTTTTTCTTATTTTATGATTTAGTATTTGAGGAAATTGCCTGAAGATAGTCTTAAGACAGCAAGGTTAGTGCAACAGGTATTTGGTTTCTCCTGATATGCACGAGAGCTTAGGGGGTCGCGGCTCCCCCACCTTCCCCTTCAAGGTCAGGGGAAAACTGGACTAGTTTATCGGCAACGGAATGACAAAGTTTTTCGTCGAAAGCGTGAGAGCTAACAAATTTCAAATACGACTTGGGGCGTCAAATACGACTTGGGGAAACTATGTGTCATACGACCTGGGAATTTTGAGTTCCAGTGGCTTCAAGTCAGGTCACAAGGTCACAAAACCGGTACATTGTACATTAAAATACCTATACTATTTTGTTCACGAAAGCTAGAGTTCTTAATCAATTTGATTCAAACCAGCAGGACATGCTTAACTCACCGCGAGCGCCATGATATGCATCACAGTCTTTTTTTCAAATTCGGTTGAACTTGAGTATCCGCGTCGATGTTCAGCCACACCTTTGACAGGTTCATCTAAAGTCTGGAGCTGGTTCAATCTTGCTGAGCTCCTCCTTCATGATTTCCCATAGGTTTTCAATTGGGATTATAGGACAGAGGATTCGATTTGACTTACTTTTTCATTCCAGTCTTCACCATAACTTCAGCGCGATGACGCTTTGTCAAAGAGTTTCTTTCGTCATAGCAGACACCATGTTCAGGTGCGAGTTACGCCTGCCAAACACTGGCCCCTTATAGCGCCTCGCAAGTGTCAAGGTCACGTGACCGGGTTAGGTCATGTGACTAACGGACATCTGTGGATAGCCTGAGCCCTGAGGCACGGTCTAAGCAAATTTTCAACAGTTCTTAATTAAAGCGCACGGTGGGATTATAGCTGAATGAAAAAGGGGCAAATATTTTTTTGACACCCTGTACTTACATAGTCTGTTTTGTTGGAAGGCAACATAACATACCGGGTGGCCCAGAAAAAAACGGTCCCAACTTTAACCCTCGCCCGCACATGGCATTTTCCCATCCTAGAACGCACATGGGGGGGGGGGGGGTTGCCACCCCCGCGCCATTTGGTTCCTGTTGGAGATAGAGCTTCGCGGTAAAGACCAAAAAGATTTTTTGGGAAGAGACGAATCCAATGATACCCAGTTTTACCTTCTCAGGCCAGTCATTGACCTTCCAGGTCAGGTCAAACTAAAAATGTTGCTGTTTTGGGTCACCGTTGGATATCAAGTGCGCTGCTTATCCTATACCGATGACGATGCCGTTTTCTGGTGCCAAGCCAGCTAGAACCTCTTTGTCACACTACCCGACCAGGTTTTTGATGCTGAGGTCATTTCAGGTCAAGTTAGGTCAAGGTCAATGATATGTGACATGTGTTTGTATGTCTGTGTGTGTCTGTCTGTATACTGATGTGTGCACCGATTGTTTATGTGTCCATATTACATGAAATCATGATCTGAGAAGCTTTTACCAAAAATGCAGTCAAAAAAACTTCACGAAAAGTAAATTCAGCCTGCCTAAAACGCAATTATTTTAGATGACCTAGGTTGACCTTGACCCTGACCTTGACATCTGTACATCGTCGAACAACATGTTCCATGATAGGTGGGAGGTAAGACTGGCAAGAAAGGCCGAAATCAACGTGTCAAAAGCTCACAAGACCCATAGCCAACGCAAGATGTTGAGAATTGGTCATTTGGGTCATGACAATGACATGACCTGAAAAACAAGGTCATACCTAACTCCGAAACCAAAAACCAAAGAAACTTGAAATTTTCAGTGGAAACTGGAGTCTGGACATCAAGAAAGGAGAGAGGAGCAGCTAGCTATACGAAAAATCAGGCTTCTAGGTTTAAAAATGTGAAGTGCAGAGCAGAAAAACTACCTGGGGGGGGGGGGGGTGGCAACTGGCAACCACCCCCCGCATGTGCGGGCGAGGGTTGAATCAATATTTCTCAGAAAATGATAACGATACAACATCACAACTTCCTATAGGCAATGCGGCATATGTTTTCAGTAAATGCTATCATTTTTATGTTATTCGGTCAATTACTTTTTAAACGGTTTGTGTTTCTAGCACATGCCATGTAAAAATTACTTTTTTGCTCAGATATTTACTAAAAAATGTGAGTGAACGGGCCACTTCCATCTCGGCACCACGGCCTGCTACTGGCAACTAGTCTCATTGATGGTTCAGGCCTCAGGGTGATACATTCCCTCTACCTTTTTTCTTTTTTCGGTCGATTTACTGATTGATCTTCTTGAAGGGATGGCGATCAGCAGTAACCCATGCACCGTGCCACTCCTGCTCGAAACAGGTCTTGTTGAAACGAATGGCATCCATTAACACTATTTTGACTCAGCATTTGAATATTTGGCACATTGACATAAGTGGGCCAATTTTTTTAAAATAAATTTTGTCCGAACCTTTTGATAGGAAGGATTCACAAGGACAGAGCCACCGCTAAGCGAAGCTTGTTGCGGTGACCCTGCCCTCTACCCCCCGATCGCACAATTCCGGATCTATGGCAGAATTTAGAGTCCAAAGTTTAACGTGCGCTAGCCGCGCACGGCCGGTCCCCTCACTGACTTCGCCTGGCTACGGCCTGCCACCAACCGCAACCATACCTGTCAGGAGGCCCATAAATGTCAAGCGCCCGTCGCGCTTCGAACCCGGACTGTTATAACCGGGAACGCGTGCTCTCACCACGCGGAGTCCAACGCTCTACCAACTGAGCTACGGGACCGGCAAAATAACAACAAACGTGCTGGTTTCATTTACGTGTTCTATTTTTTCCATGTTTTTCTAACATGGTACGCCTAAGCCAATCATCACTACCGTTCAACATCGGCAAAAAAAGCAACAACGTCTTACTTAATTCAACATAAGATCGCTGGCTTGAAAATGATGGTACAGTCATGGATGAGATAATACTTATTATCTCCTCCATGGTACAGTGTTATAATTTGGCGTACCAATGCGCAAAAAAGTGACGCAACCTTGATGAAAATTTTGGCTCGTTATTTGCACTCGAATTTGAGATATTGTTTGATGGTGCCTCACTCTATTTGTATTTTATGTAATTGACGGAACGCATAGTAATTTTATCTCTATATAGGCCTCCAAAGTTCGGAACGTTTTTTTGGGCCACCCGGTAAATAAGAGCTTGAGCAACTGAATCATGAATGAATGAATGAATGAAGTAATGAATGAATGAATGAATGAAGCAATGAATGAATGAATTAATGAATGAATGAATGAATGAATGAATGAATGAATGAATGAATGAATGAATGAAGGCATGACATGAATAGATGAATGAATGCATGAATGAATGAAGGAATGACATGAATAAATGAATGAATGAATGAATGAACGAGAAAACAGGACGACCCAATAAAACTATACGTTGAACGTAAAAAAAGCATGACCTACAACGTTTTTACAGAAACATTCGTCGCCAGAACAACAAAGAGCGCCATCGGCCCGTTAGGAGACAAAAAATGAAACGTTTATGTGTCTGCTTTCTGGGCCACTGCGGCTCTTCAAAGTTCAAAGGCACCGCACGGTGCACCACAGTACACCCGTGCCGGAAGAGGAAATGGCAAACATCAGTGTCGGACAATCGACAGCCGGCGCCGCGAATCTGTCGCCGGCGCGGCCGCTGGGGTCGCCTTTGCACCCGACAGCACCGGTCGTGCACCGACGCTCGGCCGACCCCGAACGACGCGTGACGTAGGCGCCAGCTCGGCCGCCGATTGGTCGACGGCCAGTCATTCGAGTATCAGCTGGCGGGAGGCCTTGTGGCGGCCCCGCAGCCGCCAGCCTTGGTCGGCGTGGCGCGAGGGTGGGCGGGGGAACGCCCGATGGGGACGGAGGGGAGGGGGAGCTGCGACAACGGCCGCCGGCCGCGAAGCTGCTGAGTTCGCTAGCAGTGCTGTTCAGAGTTTGGTTGGAGTGAGAGCGGAGTTTGTGCTGCCAGTGAAGCTCGGGAGCCGAGTGGGCAAAAGTCTTCATCGATCGGTGGGTTGTCTGAATCTTAGGTGTGGATCGCCGGACCTGTCACCTTCGACCCAAGCTCATCCAGATCCAGTCGGCCGGGGGCCGGCTAGAGAGCTGCTCTGGTAGCTGGAATACCTGCAGATAGGACGACGAATCAAGAAAGAAAGGTAAGTAACAAGGCCGTCCGCGTAATGATCGGTTTCGCCCATGCCTACACTCCCAGACGGGACCAGTCGTACCTATCACGCGCTACATTTACGGTTATAGTTGTTACAATCTCCTTGCCGATGTCTTAACCATTTTACCCCGTCAAGTTATCTGGCCTGAAGTCGTCTGTCTCGCCATCACATCTGTTTGCTAATTTGTTCCTGTCATTATGTCACTTGGTCATCGAGCCAGATGGTATAGGGGTGAAACGGGCAAATGTGACCTCTCTGCGTCCGGCTTTGTCGCGGTTTGCCCTGCATGACCTGTTCATAGGTCACCTAGAATCAATAATGTTTGGCGTCGTGTGACGTGTGACCGCGTTTAGCCATACATAGTTACTTCTGATTCTGGTGCCCCGTTTAGGTAAGATCATGTCACAGTTCTAACTTTGTGTGGCATGTCTGAGGTCATGTCTCACAGTACACTGTGTAGTGTGTGTCCGTTGTCTCTGAGGTCAGCCGCTCTTTCTGACGCTTTGTGACCTGTTCCAGCGGCCATGTCGGACCTGTGGCGCGGCTCGGTGCTCTTCTCGTGGGGCTGTGTGGCCACGGCCGTGCTGCGGCTGATGCGCGCCTCCTGGCACGCCCGCGAGGAGCCGCTCGACTGGGCGGCGCTCCTCCGCTGGAGTCTGCTGGTCGCACCGCTCGCCGGCGTCGCTGCCAGTACGTGACTCTCTCTCTCTCTCTCTCTCTCTCTCTCTCTCTCTCTCTCTCTCTCTCTCTCTCTCTCTCTCTCTCTCTCTCTCTCTCGCTCTCGCTCTCGCTCTCGCTCTCTCTCTCTCTCTCTCTCTCTCTCTCTCTCTCTCTCTCTCTCTCTCTCTCTCTCGACGTCTCCCATCGCTTTCTACCTCTTTTCTCACTGTCGCTTTCAGTGGTTCTCACACACATGCGGCTCGAACGTTCTGGCCTACTCTCTCTCCCTCAAACTCTGCCTGTTTCGACGCTCACCCTCTTCCATGCTTTCACCAGCCGCCGTCGCCCGCCGTTTCACTGCTCCACGCTTGTGGTTCCTGACACCGCCTCTGCTATACTGTGCACTACCCCCTCTGGTGCATTGTATACAATCCATATCTCAGAGGCGCCACTGCACGTGCTAATCCCCGGCAGGACACGTGAGGAGGCCCCCGGGGGGGGGGGGCGGGGTACAACGGACGGGTGACGTCACCACTTGACCCGGCGCCACTCATGAGCCTTGTGTCCAAACAATGTCTGAGACCGAGGTGGCATAGTCGAACGATCAAGGGCCACTGCTGCGTCATGTTAGGCATTCATGAATTGGCGAGTTTTTATCTCTCTGAAGCGGCGCATGTTGTTTTTTTTTTTGTCGCAGAGGCGAATCGAGGGCGACCAGTTCGGAGAAACCCTAACAATCAACCGTGCGCGACAGAAAATCAATGAGGATTCACAGGATCGAGCCTTGACCTTTGAGTCTTTGTGTGGTGGTACTTCTACAGTTATAATAACTTGAACGTGTTAGACGACTTTTTTCAGCATCGGTAGACGAGCCGATTAAAGAGTGCGTCACGAAATGTTTGGTCGGGTCCCGTTCGCCTGGCACGCCAATCTATGAGAATGGCGATGGAGACTAGAGATGCACAGTGCATACACCTCGTGATTGTTAAGTGGCCACGTTCGTCAGCTCAGACTCTATCCTCCTTTTTCCTTTCAGTTATCGTCGGTCTGGCGTACCCGCTGTTCGATCGGTGGCTCAACTCCCAGCCGGCGTCAGGCCGCGACTGGGCCTCCGTCACGCGCTGTCTGGCCCTCTTCGTCGGCATCAACCACGCCAACAGCCGGTTCCACTTTGCCACGGACGCCGAGCTGGCCTGGACGCTGGCGCTGCTCAGCCTGGCGCTCTGGTGGACGTTCGACCGCACCACGTGCGGCTTTGTGATCGCCTCGCTGGCGGCCGCTGTGGCGCACGTGGTCGCCTATTATCTGGTGCTGCGAATCGTCTTTAGGTGAGCCGACACTCTTTTATAACACTTGCCCTGATAATTGGTACTTTTTGCGTGCTGATACTACACTTTATCATACATTCATCTAAGTAAAGATCACATATTTCACGCTCTACCACAGGGAAAACTACACTGCAGCCAGTCCATACGCTTGCAGCCTGTCCGTTGTGACGCGAGATGTGTTTATTGCTCTTGCAAGCTCAAACGATTTTCTGCAAGAGTCACGGGTAACAGGTGGCATGCGACACAGATTCAAGGTTCAGAACGCAGAATAGGTGTTGTTTTTGCGATCCTGCTTTACAGCAGGTACCCTACGCTACAATAAAGACAGCTGACCCCATCCCCCAAAACGGACGACCGTCCCCATCAGTTAGCTGCCATCTCTGAACGCCACCCGTTTTAACTCTATCCCCGTTCTCCGTGTGACACGCAGTGGGACGTCACTGGAGCTGTCGCGGCTGAAGGCCTGGTTCCCGTTTGTCGCCTTCTCTGCCGGTATCACCATTGGCAGCGTGGGAAGACAGCTGGCCGAACCTCCCCAGCAGCGGGAAAAACTCCACAAGGACTGAAGGAGCTGAACCTTCAGCAACCGGACGACGTCGCGGATCTTTCAGAGACGGGACGAAACGTCAGAACGAGCCAGTACCTACCCTTTTGTGCGATATATGCGGTTGTGACAAATTGATCGATGATGTTTTGTTGAGATGACAGACGCTTGTAACTAGCTTCATGATGATGTGAGACGCCTTCGCAAAGGGTGAATGTTTGATCTAAGGGTAAGACGGAGTCGTGCGCGAGTTGACGCACACTGTCGTGAAGGTGCCGCGCAACAACAGGGTAGGACCGTCACTAGATGGTCTGCTAGTGACCTGTGCAATCCTTGTGTGGGGGCTGCAGGACAATCAGCACTGGCTGATGTGTCATAGCCTGCCATGCGTGTCTCAAACCTGCGCCGATCTCGATGGAAGACGGCGAGTTGGGCGCAGGATAACCGGCGCTATAGACTGCTGTGATAGTTGGTGGGCGATGTTGCTCAGACTCTGGCTCTCCTGTTGAGGAGGGGGGGGGGGGGGAGGGGACGACCTGCCGCGTGCTGAAACCCATTCTTGATGCCCATGTCGTTCTAGATCGGGGAGGTATGGGTGTGTTTTTATACCTCATTTTGTTTGTATCGTTTTGTCAACTGCCAGGGGCTAAGGCCACTTGCCGGCCACAATGTCGTCGATATTAGTTGTTGTGTGCAGTGTTTGTCGTTTTACTTTGGAGGATCGTCTGTGTCGCATCATTGCCCGCCAGATGTCCAGCAACCTAAGGTGCCTGGGTGCTGGGCGGTTACGTGCCGCGCCGGCTCGCGCTGCGCCTGCGAGCCGCGCATATGGTGGAGAGATGGAAACCCCGGCCAGTGGACACGCCGTAACGTGTGGTTGCCAGAAAGTGCTGTGCTCGCTAGGTGGCGGGTAATAAGGTAGTCGTGGGAGTCAATATATGACCGAATGGCGAATATGCCGCAGTGTTTCAGGTCAGAATCCAGCGTTCCATGGAAATGTTTTCAAAAAGACACCTCAAAGTACCATTGCCTACAATCTTCATTCTTGAAATCATACATATCATACAAACATGAAACATCATGACTGCTTCCTCAAGGTTAAGAATATCAGGATTCATGAATGCAAAAAGTGTATTTCAGCATGGAGTTCAAATAATCAAAATCAGGGCCGCATGAATCATTTGAGAGGACAACAGCCCACCCGTGGGAGCAAAGATGCTTGGGTTCAATGAAGGAAAATGGCCTATCTTATAGGATCAGCGAACATAATTTACTTTTCCATTTATGAGACGGAGAGCAATTTTCAAATATTGGTGGATGTAAACACAAACGCAGCACATTCTATCATATACACCTAGCCTCCAGACCAGTACAAAAATAACACCAAACAAAGACATACAAGGTCAGCAACCCCGCACTTCTTACTCAACCCATGTCATATGGGACGCTTTTACACATAACAGCGTTACTGAGGCAGATTCGACAATAACCTTGACATCGCCACCAGTCGAATGCGTCAGGAACTGCCAACACTGTCCTATAAACGCACGATATTCTTAAACAGTCCTGTTTTCGTACAGCCACAGCACTAGCGTAGCGAACGGCAGTTCCCAGGTATATTAGACGGTCAAAGTTGGTTTGCTGCTTAGCGGCATCAGTGGACACACCATAGAGTTCACTCACCTCATGGGTCACAGGTTACTGTGTACAGTCCAGCTCTCTCACTGTCAATGTACGTACCATCGACCTGACGCTACAGCTCACCCGCGGGCAGACCCCACCTCGCTGGATGGAACCCGGCACTGCGCCCAGCACTTGTCAAACGGTCCAGTCCTACAGCGCAATGTCTCAGTAGTACATGCCGCGCATACGTCGCCCGATGCTCTGCTTATCATAGAGCGTGTTGAACTTGTTCATGTACTGCATGGTTCGGTAGCAGACCTTGGTGAGCGCTCCCAGGTACGTCATGAGCGTGACGTCGTTCATCTGGGTGAAGAGGTCCTGCACGACGGGCGCCGACTGCAGCACCGGCAGCCGGTGGCTGATGCTGTACGCCTCGCGCAGGATGTCGTAGTTGACCGGCACCTCGCCCGCCTGCATCGCCTCGATGTAGCGCACGATGAGACGCACCCGGCTGCGCAGCATCTGCAGCGCGAAGTGCTGCGGCACCAGGCTCTCGGCCACCTTGGACTTGTCGTCCGTCTCTCCGGCGGAGACGCGCGCCACGTGGTCAACACCGATACGCTCGGCCTCCTCGGTGGCGAGGGTGTATCCGGTCTCGAGCAGCAGCATCTGTGCCTCACCGTCCACCAGGTCCATCACCGACTCGAGCACCGTGATGGGCAGCTCGCTGCTGATGGACTGCGGGTTCAGCTTCAGCAGCAGCGCGCTCTCGTTCAGCTGGCAGATCTGCTTGTGCACGCTGATGTCCGAGGCGTTGGGTGCGCCGCCGGTCGTGTACCAGCCCAGCATGTCCATGTGCTCGAACACCTGCTTGAACTGCGACTCCTTCAGCTTGTAGTACTCGACATCGATGACGATCTGACCGTCCACCTCGTCAAACACCAGCTCGTACGAGTTCATGATCTCGACGTTGCGTCCCTTCTGCTGTCCGATGATGGCGCCGAGCACCTGTCGCGGAGAGCCCTCCTGGGCGCGGATGCGCGTCCAGTGCTCGGAGATGTTGAGGATGACCAGCGGGTGCAGCTGAACGGTGACGCTAGCGCTCCCGGTGGCCATCACCCCGCTGATGGCGCTGCTGGAGGGGCCCGGCGCCGCCTCCGCTGCCGCCGAGCCCGCGCCGGAGGTCGACGGGCCGGCCTCTACCTCCATCGAGGTCATCCTTGCCGCTCGGGTGTGTGCGATTCTCCGAAGGGATGTACTCAATTCTGAGCAGAGCTGGATCAGTTCGTCTCCGAATGGTGCCTGAGGGTCCAAAAGAGCTGTTTTCTGAATTTCTACTGGTTAAAATTCCTTAACATAGCAATTGTAGGTACAAAATTGGTACAAGACTGCTGTTTTCTGGCCTAAGGTTTCAAAACATGCCCTGTATGCTTTGATTTGACAGACATAACACACCCCGTGCTTATTTAAAAATGATAGGTTTACATTACCTACTTACCTATCTGCAGTTTTGATTTGCTTAAGTCAGTGTTGCTTTTTATCTTAAAAAATTGGAATATGGACTTAGTTAATGGGTCCATATTCCATTCCATATGGGTCCATATTGGAAAGTCAAATATCTCATCTAATGAGTAAAATACATTGTTATAGAAAAAAGCAACATAGTGGCATTATTTAATCTTTGTTTTTTTTTTAATGCATTCAGACAGCCATGTTACAAAGCACTTCACAGTTGATGCATCCTTGGATGCAACCACATCCTTTTCTTTCAGATCCTGCCAAGATCCTTCCATGAAATCCTGCGATATCAATTGGCATTTTTTTCCCAAATACACCGCCACCAATTAATAGGTGACCAGGAGTGCCCCCTCCCCCAGCCCAGCGACTCACAGAACCTTACTTTAACACCAGAGAAAAATAAAAATGGCAAAAGTAGTGGCGAGTCCCTGCTAGGAAACGGAAAAACTCAAAATAAGCAAGCAGTCGGTAAAAGGAAGTCTGGCTAGTAAATAAAAAATAGAGGGCAGAAGATGTCCCCACTGAAAGCAGCGGAAGACTGAATTAGGTACTACTTCCAATATGCCATGCTTTATCAAGTAAGAGAACACTCACTCAGGGTTAGTAAAGGGACACATACATACCAGCGGTAGGACAAAGCTCAGGTTCTGGTCAGTATTCTGCAAAAGGTCATGTGTGACCAGATAAGCCCTTCCAGCTGAGCAGAGCTTGTTGCTAGTCGGGCTCACCAGTCACAACGCAGAATGGGTGGGTTTGGTGTAAGCCATTATCACTATAGCTGACAGGCTACGCTACGCAAGAAGTTTTTTTAGAAAGTAATAGAACTTCTTAAAAAAGCAATAGAACTTCCTCTACATGCCATAGTCGATACAGAGCATGCACATTATTCTGTTTGATAATACCCTATTTGTTTGCATATTTTACTAACGAGTATTGACGTTATGTAAACAAAAGCTGAAAACTATTATTCCATGTAAAAAATATATTTATTTATTGTTATTAAATTAAATCTTTAAACAATTTTCTTTCAAAACACTGATCCATTTATGAAATGGCCAGCTGATTTTGATGCCCAGAAGCTGCAGAAAAGCAGTTTTCCTATCACCATTTTTGAGTGAATTTGCCAAATTTATTCCAATCACATTAATTCCTAGCCGAAAATTGAAGCCTTTTCTCTCCGATAAGTGGACGCGATACCGCAAGTACCTGCACATTACACTGTTTATCACCTGCAGTAGCAAGGGCTGCATTTATGCTCACATATGGCCATCAAAAGTCTGTTTATTTACTGATCAATTTTTGGATCTTCGCCTCGTAGTTTCCCCAACTGAACTCTATGAAACATAAGACAGAGCTTATTTGCAACAGAAAATGCAGCAAAATGAAAAGGTGCACAACAGACCTTGCGCTACAATATAAAACAAAAACTCGAATCTTAATTTTGTAAGTGAACTAGATTGAGACACTTAAGTTAACACCGTTAACACATTAACATAGCCCATAGGTACAAAATCAAAATTGATATAAAATTAACAGAATGAAACTTACCGGGAAAAGGCTTGACCGGCTTGACTATTGTTTGCTAGGTTTCTAGACACCCTTCCAAATAAAAAACAACAGGTTATGCACGTTTCGGCAGCGTGATGACTGATGAAACACTAACTGAAAATTTGATAAATATTACCTAATCTAAATGAATAATGATAGCATTCACCAAGCGCGAAGCACTTGCTGCGCCACAAACGAAAACATTTGTCGACCATTGACCTCTATAGTAAGCGTATTTACAAATTGCAACCGAGCTCCGCCGTAGGGTATTTTATTTCCGCCGTAGTGTATTTCACTTGGGGTATTTTCTACCATACATCTTCCTGAGCTTGGGGTAATTACAATTTGTCGGCGACGTTCAAAAATGATGCACCTTTTTTCGCAGTATAGGTTATCGCATGTGCATATTTTTACCTTTTGGTTGCGCTTTTCCCTCGCTCGTATGGGGCAGGCGTTGAACGGACCCCATCGGTTTTTCGTGAGTAACTCGCGTAAAAACCGTCCGATCGCGACGAAACTTTCAATACCCCCGATTTTATCAATTTTACACCTACCCTGAAAATTTCATGACCCTGACCCCAATGACCTTTGACCTGTGACCTATTTCTCGAGACCATGTTTGGCCCGAATCGCGATTCGGCGTATGTCGGCTCGCATTAGGCGCGCGTTTGCAGTCTTTACGTGGTTTCAAGCGTTGAAACATGTGATATGATGCTGGTCCCATGCATAAGGGTGGGTGTCAAGGTCACCTGAAGGTCAGGTCAGCTCAATGACCTTTGCTGACCTCGGTTCACTTTTTCGAGTTTTACATGTTTCTAGGCTAGTTTTTGGAGCTGATTTCGAATTTAGCAACCATTTGAACATTACAGGGGGTGTAACGAAATTATCCGGACATCTTTCTTCCCGCTGTAATTAAAAAGCAAAACATTCTGGTACTTTTTCCTTTAACTGAGCATGTAGCCACCTTTCATAAAAATACAGTGGCGAATGTTCTGGAGCATTTCAGCCACTGGATTCTCCAGCACACTGGCTTTGATGCGGACCAACGCCCTCTAAACCTGCGCCTGCGGTTGGGCGGTGCTTGTGGCGGGCGTCTCTTCAGACACCTACTGAACAAGAGCCCACAGGTTTTCGACTGAATTGGGATCGCGACTTTTTCCAAGTCATAAGCGTTAGCCCAGAATGATTGAAGGTTCTATCGGCATCACTTCCCGTTCTTTTAGGGACTTTTAAGTAGCGCGCCGCCCCGCATGAAGACAGCGAGGCT